TTGAAGACTTCAGCCCTTTCCACGTACACGAGCTGGCAAACGTCCTCCTCGATGGAGTTGAACTGCCGGCCATTGCAGGCCATGTAGAAGCTGTCTGCATCAGCCTGGACACAGAGCAGGGGAAATTGGTTAAAAACAGAAAACTGCCAGCTGATCTGACCAAGGAAGAGCAGGAGAAACCTCCCATATCCTCCCTTCTTCCCTGGAACACCAGAGGAGGGATTTCAGCCAGCTCCAGGCGCTGCATTTTGGTGCTGGGTTTGGTATCRCCTTTGGAAGACACAGGTGAAGTTCAGGGCAGTGACATCACACTGACACTGGAGCATTCAGCAGGAATCAGGGATTTCCCTTCAGCACCTGTTGTACCCTTTGTCAGCAGTTTCAGTGCATTTGCAAAACAAATTTGGTCAAAAAAATGTAAGAGGGCCACGTTGCAGAACAGTGGAGTCAGGAACAGGAACAGCAGTTTAACTGTGGAAAAGGATCCATTTCACCACTCACAGCTCAGGCACCTTCCAGGGCAAAAGAGGCAGAACCAACCCAAACCCTGTCAAATCCATCAGCCCTTTCYCTCAGGTGATCCCCAAACCCTTTCTCCAAACCACCTTGCTGGATGCCACATTCCCAAGCTCTTGGCGATTCCAGGCAGGAGCATAAAGGCCCTGCAGATTTGGTTTGCTACTTGCAGCCATTAGGGGTCAACAGAGCTTCAGAGAATTGCCTGAGAAACAGGAATTTCAGGGTGAATTGAGCAAAGGTTTAGGGATTTGCTGCAAGGCTGTGTTCAGTACTAAGTATCTGCCCGTGTAATTCAATGCAACAAGAGATAAAACCATCTTTGTAACTACTGCAATGAGCACAAAACTCACACGAATCCTCCATCTGCACAAAGAGCTTGGGAAATCTCCCAGGCAGAATTCAGAGCTGGGGGAAACCTCTCCCTGAACCCCAAAATAAATCATGTGCAGYTGGAAGAAGAGAATGTCCAGGTGAAAGGATCCACACAGGAACTGGAGGGGAGAATTTAAAGCTGCACAGTTCAAGGGGCCTGAAGGAGCAAACTGTGTGATCTGAGTATCAATTCACCCCCAGGCTTTCAGGTTTGGGGGGCACTGTTCTTTCCACACTGACAGTGGCTGTGAAACCACCCAGCTGCTCAGAAAAGCAGAAAAAGTCTTTCTTAAAACAAATGGAGCACCCCTGACTGTGTCCTTTCTGTTCAGYACAGCACAAGGCTCTGAACAAGCTGAGAAATAGCAGAAAGTTCTGTAAATGGACTAAATCTTGAAAAATACCCTTCCAACAAGAAACAGGACAGYCAGAACAYRGCATCCACTGCTWCCARGTGTGGGACTGACCTCAGCAGCCCYGGGAATTCTCTGGGAAGGAAAGCAGGGATGTTTCTCCATGTGTAAGTGCAGCCCRGGCTCAAAGCTGCCCAGTGAAGCCACCAACCCTCCTGAGCAGTGACTGGTGTGACATTCCCACAGCCAAGAAATCCTGGGAGCAAATTACCTGGGAGCTGAACTTGATGAGCACCATGTACTGGTTYGGGGTGGAGTCTCTGATGATCTTCATGTGCTCAATCACCTCGTAGAAGGAAGCCACAAACTTCATGAGGTCGTGGCTGGTCATGGTGGCGGGGACGGTGAGGATGCAGAGCATGGCACTGCGCCGCACGTCCTCCTTCAGGGATGTCATCTTGCTGGGGACACAGCAGGGACACAGCTCCAAGCCCAGAGTCACAGCAACTCTGCTGTCAAACTTTMACCCTCCTTCAACTTTAAACCTCCCTCAACAGTGAGGAGGACAGGAAGGGGCTGTGAGTGAGTCCCCACATGAAACAGGCACAGGCATCCTTTAGCCAAGGATTCCCAAGAACAATGGGATTGCCAGGAAYAGTCTGACATCTGTTTTTCTATAAAAGCAGCAGAAGCTGGCGAGCCCCAGATGCTCAGCACTGTTCCTACAATAACTGAGCAATGTTTGTTCCTATTCCCAGTGCCCATTTGGTGGCTCCTGGTGGCTTKCAGGAASACCTGGAATGGGAGTTCTCACACAATTACAGGGGAATGGTGTAGAATTGTAACCCCTGGAATACAGGATGAGATTTCCTCCCTCACACAGTTCCCAGGACTGTCACCAGGGCTCCAGAGATCACAATTTAATTGTGGCATCCTTCAGGAAGGAGCTTTCAAACACCATTTTTTTGGAAGTCATGTTTGTTTTACACTCTTACAACCCCCAGCACAAGCCCTCACCACCCCAGTGAAGCTCCACCATTAACACCAGTCAYCCTCTGCATTCCCAGGAGCAAGTCACCCTTCCTGTTTGTCCCCTCTCRGGAGCCACAGCCCCAGGGTGGCCAACTCACCCTCCCATTCCCACATGAGCTACTATTAGTCAGGAATCCTTACTTTGTTTTGTACAGGTGCATAATTCCATGAACGATTTCAACCGAGGGGTTCCCACTGAAGAAGGAAATCTGGTCTGGGAGCTGTTTGGAAGGCGAGTCTGGAGCAGCCTCACACTCCTTGCTTTGATCCTCCTGTTTGGTTTTGTCCTCAGCTGATGCAGCCTCTGAGGATTTTCTTCCTTCCATGGCAGCTTTTGCTTCATCTTTCACAAAGGCAAAGTTTCCCCATTACTGAAGGGAAGGGACCACAAGGRTCACCCAGTCCCACTCTTGGTCCTSCACAGACACMCCAACAATCCCRCCCTGGGAGYRGTGTCTGAACAATCCTGGAGCTGTGGCAGCCTCTGCCCGTTCCCTGGGGAACCTGGGCAGTGCCAGCAMCYTCTGGGGRAAGAATCTTTCCCTGATCTCCAACCTAAACCCCCCTGGCACAGCTCCAGCCCTTCCCTGRRTCCTGTCCCTGCTCCCAGAGCAGAGATCGGAGCTGCCCCTCGGGAGGAGCTCASRATTGRGATGAGCTCAGTGGGAACTGCTCGTCAGGAATAACCAGCTCTGCCACCCGCACATTCCTCAACTTCTCTGCTTGTTTTCCCCACTGCAGGGCCGACCCCGGACCCGCACACCCCACAACACCCGGTGTCCCCCCGCCCTGCCTGGCCGGTGATAGCACCGGATACTGTCCCCAAACCGCCCCCGCCGGTACCTGTCCGCGGCTGGATGGTCTCGATGATCACGTCGGTCATCTCCCTGCGGCCCAGGTGCTGGTGCAGGATGGCCGCCCGCTCCCCGGGGCCCTTCCCCTCCAGGCAGGCGGGCACGGCGGCGGGGGCCGCGCCGGTGCTCTCCGCTGCCATGTCCGGAGCTGCGGGGACAAAGCGGGCGTTGGGACGGGGCGCT